TTTTGAGAAAACGTCTATTATAACTAAAATATATCGAAAACCTTTATTTTCTCTCGCATACGGAATCATTTCAACTAAATCGGCTTGATGTAGATAATCCAATACTTTAACAACTACCTTACGACGCGAGAAATTAATCCTTGCAGGTTTATGCAGTTCTTTCACAACTTCCTGTTTCACGTCAGACATTCCTTTCTGTTGACGACAACTACACAGACGATGCCTCTGTTTGTTTAGAACTGCTCGATATTGTACTTCCAGCTGCTGTTTGTTCTAAAGTATCCAATCTTACCTTAAGATCGTTTGCTTCTTTTTTTAATGACTCCACCATTTTCACTAACTCCTTTTCCATGTCTTCTTTCTTTTTATTGCTTACTTTAATTTCTTTCTCTGCAAATTCCATAACTTTCTTGCACTCATCTTTAATCAATGTCTTTATTAATTCGACACTCACATCTATATCTCTTTTCATGTTTGTCACAATGTCGCTCTTTAGTTTCTTCGACAATTCTTCGTCACCTTTTCTAGCAAATGTTTCTACATTTTTACACTCCAATGTAATTTTTGCTGAAAGGGTGTCCATGATTATGACGCCATTCTTTTCTATCACATCATTAACCATTTTTGTTATTTGCTTATCCCTATCATTATTATAATTTTCAATTTCTCTTCCCATATTTTTAATTAATATATCCATTTTATCATTAAATGTTTTCATCATCTTTTGATCACTTTTGGAGACAAGTGTTTTTAATTCTTCTCGTAAATCCTTCATCTTTCTATCTCCTTCACTGACAGCGCTATCCTTTACTCTTTCACATTCTATTCTGATATGTTCTTTTGTTAACCTATCCTTTTCGTCTACATATTTTTTTGTAGCTGCATGAAAGCCAGCTGTAGGCTCATTCAAGTGTATAATACGTTTATTAGCCACGTCAACAAAATATAATACTTTGTCGAATGCCTTCCTAATATTCACTATATCATCTTGAGATAAAAGAAGTTTCAGCTTCTTCTCCAAAAATCGTACATTAACAGCATCATGCTCCTGCTGAGGGTCCCCGATTCTTGTTAAGCGGTTATGATTAAAATCGTGAACATTGCTAAATGCTCGCGAATATGATCGTTTTTTTTCTAACGCACGTCCGAACTTATCGATCGCCATTATCTAACTAACCACCCCCACAAATCGTTTATTCGATTATATTAGACTCCCGCAACTCTTCTAAAATTGATTGCATTTCGTTTTCATGATTTGTGTTGCCTGCTTGTTGAGAAGCAACCAATAACTTTAAACGATCACACAATTCATTAACATCATCAAAATATTTGTATTCTATCGGTTTTTCGTTGTAAGTCAACAACGATAAGCCTCCACCTTTAGAAGGCTTCGTTGTTTGCTGCCTTAAATTGTATACTGCTCCCGTACGTTTTAATATATCCGCATAGTCTCTCCGTTCTTTAATTGATGTCGGATATTCAGAACTTAATTTAAACAGTTGCTCGTATAATCCCACAGTACCTGTGTATTTAAATTTTCCATCGATTACGACGTCTGATCCATCAAAATCTATTTCAGAATCACCGATAAAAAATTTATTTGTGTCCCATTCGTATCGAACTTTGTCAAGACGGGGATTCACAACGTCAGTGTTAAATCTATCACCTTCATAGTCTTTAATAATTCCTTCTATATAGTCACGAGGTAGAGGATCGAATTCCTCCAAATATTCTCCAAATCGAGAGCTATTGATATAATCTATATATGCTTTTTTTAATTGTTCGAACTCACTGTCATCCCTTCTTGGGTCAACTTCATATACACTTTCTTCCCTTAAGAAGGAAGGAGGACCTTGAAGTATGGTAGCTGGAGCATTCGAAGGATCAAGTTTTCTAATTTTTATTGGAGTTGATGATGCTGGAATATCAACTTTCGACCAATTAACAACCTCTGGTTTTAATTCCTTTTTGATCTCTTCACCCAACTCAGATTTCAAGTGAAGAAGCGATTTTGTAATTGGTTGATAAGCTTGTTGCAATAGAAGATTCTGTCCTACCATCGATTCCTTTAACATTTGCAGTTTCCTCTTTACTGCTTTCCTAACTTTGATTAGTTCTTTCTTTGCTTTCACATCCATGCTGTTGTTATGGTTGTCTTTTAACAAGTGGTTTCATTTATATTACCTACAGTAATATATATTTATCGAATCCTATGCGATATCTCCCGTCATTTATACCACAATCCTTGTTAATAACTACAAATCCAAATTTTTCTTTCCAACATTCTCCACATATACTTTTAAATTGGTCAAAAGTCATATCTGCAGTAACATGGTCGGAAAAAACGTGTTTCAGATTTAATTCGTCTTGTTTAAACAGTATTATTAAATTAGCATTATCTCTGATTAAATGTTTAGGGATCTGAGCATATGTTTGATTTAAATAAAAAGTATCGATTGAGTTATGCCTTCCCATACTAAAATATTCTCTTATCTTACTCTGATTGTCATTCGCAACATCATCAAAGATGAATACAGAATTAGGTTTCGCCTGTGATGGACCTATTACTTCATCAGAATTTCTAAAGGGAAAATAACCAATTCCAGCAATTGGTTGTAATAATTCATTTAAATATTTATATTTTGGTTGATATAGCGACTTTGAATAAACATAAACGTTTTCAAACCGTAAACCGTTTGGTTGCTCCAAAAGTCCTATAATCACATTTGTTTTTCCACAGTTTGAAGGTCCAGCGACGATGCATCTTATTGTTGATGGTAATAAAGGCCCATGACGATTTATTTTCGCAGCAATGTTGAAGTCGCGATTGGTTATCGGTAGAGCAGATGGATGTTGTACTATCCGCATGTTTCTTCATTATTAAACGATTTTGCTGTGTTAACGGATATATAAATTTAGAGTTAACGTTGCTTATATAGTCAGTTGGTTCGCAATAGTGAAAGCACTCACACCAAACCTAATACATGAAACGCGGCGTTCTGAATAGTATTATAGATAAGTTACCCATTGAAATACACCTCCCAGGTTATAATTTTTGTGGTCCAGGGACACGATTAAACAAACGATTAGCGAGAGGTGATATCGGTATAAATCCTCTCGACGAATATTGTAAATTGCACGATATTGTATACGCAATTTCACCAGACATTTCACAACGTCGAATAGCGGACAAGGTTTTAGCGCATCAATCTTTACGAAGACTAAAGTCATCAGACGCATCTATAGGTGAACGCTTTGCAGCTCTCGCAATTGCTTCGGCTATGAAGACTAAGGAGAAACTTGGAATGGGGCACAAACGACGACGACTACGTCGTAGTAAAAAAGGTGGTTCGATTCCGTTGACTAGAATAAATAAGAGAAAACGAATAAAAAAAGGAGGAGTTCTACCGTTTCGCAAATTAGTAACAACTGCGAAACTTGTTCTTAAGAAAAATAAGCCCTTACAGTTATTAGAGGCTGCTAAAATTGCACTGAATCAAATTCGAAAACTTGGAAAACGATCTAAATTTCCTAGAATCATTCCCATTCCAAAGACAGGTGGTTTTTTACCGTTAATTCCGATTTTTGCGGGACTATCGGCACTTGGAGCTCTTTCTGGTGGTGCTGCTGGAATTGCTAAAGCTGTACAAGATGCTAAATCAGCGCAGCAACAACTAGAAGAAGCTAAACGTCATAACACTTCAATGGAAGCCATTGCTCTTGGGAAAAATATTTCCATACAACCTTCCCGTAAAGGTTTCGGTTTATACCTTAAACCGTTTCAACAAAAAAAAACACAAATTTTTTCCTGAAATTACCTAATCATCCTCTAACAGATTCAGATTTACACAATTACATTCGCTATTTACAAATTCCACATTTTCGTGGAATCTTCATGCGTAACGAATTACCAAGAAAAGTTAAAAGATATGAAAGTGGAATTGTTAATTTAGATACCGGAACTGGTACACATTGGACAGCGTATGTAAAACGAAACAGCAAAGCTATTTACTTTGACAGTTTTGGTAATCTCCGTCCGCCTAAAGAATTGGTTCAATATTTACAATCTGCTGGACCTTGCGATATCACTTATAACTACAATCGTGTTCAGAACCCCACCGATTTTAACTGTGGTCATTTAGTTCTCCAATTCCTGCAGAAGATTACGTAAATCCTTTTTTAATACAAACCATCAAAATTTCTTCTCTGTATTAAACAGAACGTTAAACCGAAAACATGTCTTACACATTCGCCTTGACTGCTACAACGTCGGAGCTACAAATGATAATAAGTCCACCGATTGTTTTAAGCGATGATGATGAATATCAAATAGCATTATTGAATTTTGAAGCCTACAACAGCATTCCCAATATTGATGAAAATAACAACAAATTTTATTTTGAAGATTCTAAGAAACCAGTCGTAGTTCTTCCGGAAGGATCATATGAAATTGATGATATTAATAATTTTCTTCAGGAGAAATTGGGAGATACTAATGATAGCATTCACTTGTCTGGAGACAATACTACATTAAAAAGTCGTATAAAGAGTACCAAAAATGTTGACTTTACTCCAACAGATTCTCCGGCGAAGATATTGGGTTTTGAAAATAAACTTCTATCATCGCTTCAAGAGGAGTCCGATCATGTAGCTGACATTTTCAAGGTAAACGCAATTTCAGTAACATGTAACCTTGTATCTAACTCCTATATACATACTAATGATGCTACTAAAGGACAAGATGGACATATATTACATCAATTCTTTCCCAATGTACCTCCCGGATTTAAAATTGTAGAGAATCCCACAAGTCTTATATATTTATCTATCAACACACGTGTCATCGATTACATTTCCCTTAAAATAGTTGATCAAGACGGTAATCTTGTTAATTTCCGTGGAGAGCGTGTTACAGTAAGACTTCACTTACGAAAACTATAACATGGTTGCGCGATACAACTGTGTCCAACGTTATTCCAACAAAAATACTACTATAAAACGATCACCACACTCTGAGACGTTTATTTCGCTTACACCCGTTCAGCGATTAACACCGTCTAATAAACAGTTCCTTAAATCTTTGGGGTTGCGATTGAAAAAGGTGAAAAGTTAAAATGGTTGCAGAAATACTAAATGTCACCGAGAAAGCAGTCTTCGACAACGCTATTATTAACGCTGATAAACATACTCATCAACCCTATGCTAATTCAACTTTTAAAAATAATGATACCATACGCATTCCAATAGAAAATGAAGATGTTTACACCTTACCTTGCGGTAGTTTCCTATACATAGAAGGACGTTTACTGAAAAAGGATGGAACTGTACCAACTAATACTACTTTTATCAATAACGGAATTCTATACCTATTTGATGAAATTCGATATGAATTGGGAGGAAAAGTTATTGATCGAGTCCGAAATCCTGGTATGACTACAACAATGAAAGGCTATGCGTCTTACAATGAAAATGAAAGTAAACGTCTCATTAATAGTGGATGGTTGCCTCCTGCTTTAGGTGCTGTAAAAGGAGTTGCCCTTCATACCAGAAATCTGATTGATACAAACGGTTACTTCAACGTTTGTATTCCTCTTCGTATGATTTTAGGGTTTGGAGAAGACTTTCGAAAAATAATACTCAACATACGACAAGAATTAGTTCTAGTTCGCAGCAGTACTGACAATAATGCCCTCTTTTGCTCAGCAACACCGGCTGAAGAAGTTGATGTCCATTTGGATCAGATATGTTGGAAAATTCCTCATGTATCTGTTGCTGACGCTGAACGTTTGAAATTATTACGTTACGTTGATCGCAATTTAAATATGGAACTTTCTTTTCGTAGTTGGGAACTACATGAATATCCCTTACTTAACCAATCATATTCTCACAACTGGACTGTGAAAACTACATCACAGTTGGAAAAACCTCGCTTCATTATTTTCGGTTTTCAAACCGATAAAGGTAATGATATTACAAAAAATAAGAGTGTTTTCGATCACTGCGACCTAACAAATTTTAAAGTTCACTTAGGATCCACTATGTACCCGTATGATAATTTGAATTTAGATTTTGATCTTTCCAGATTTGCTGTTTTGTACGAAATGTATGTTAATTTTCAACAATCGTATTATGGTAATGTAAGTGAACCCTTATTCGATCCTAAGGAATTTCGAACAATTGCTCCTCTTGTAATAGTAGACTGCTCTTATCAAAATGAAATTGTGAAATCTGGAAGTATCGATATTCGTTTAGAAATTCAAACTAAACGCAATATACCAGATAAAACAGCAGCTTACTGTTTAATCATTCATGATCGTGTGATACGTTACAATCCCTCTACAAACTTGGTTCAAGAAGTATAAAACCCAATGACTACATCCATACTTCACTTTCTTTACCGGTACTGAACAGTGAGCACGATGACTTTCATACTAGATGTACAAGGTTTTCAATGTTGTGAGAATCGATTTGTTTTCAAGGAAGTAGCTATTGTTGCGCTAAAAGAAGAACCAATTTATCATTTCACATTTCAGCCACCATTTCCCTGGGACGCCCTCCCAGTTCGTTACAGAAGTCAAAATCGTTGGTTAACCAGAAATTTTCATGGGTTATATTGGGATGACGGTGATCTTCCATACTCTACGATTTATGATAGTATTCATCCTATATTGATGGAGTCAACAATTGTATATGTTAAGGGATTACAAAAGAAAATGTGGTTATTGGAATACTTTCCTAATGTTAACTTTGTTAACATTGAAGACATCGAATGTCCATCTCTCTTAAGTCTAGCAGCTGATTTTAAAGTAAACGTGTGTTCTTATCATATATTTAAAACAGCTATAGAACCAACTTGTGCTTACAAAAATGTTCTTTTATTAAAATATTGGTTGTCTTTACACTCATAAAATCATTTAAACAAATAAAACACATTAAAATAAAATATAGATTTTTTATTCTCTTACATAACGCTATATATTTTACATTTGTATTTCTATATCAACTGCTTTTCCGACAAATCCTTTGAGTCGAATTGATGGACGACCCACTTTTTTATCTATTTTATCGTTTATATCCTCGATTTCTGCATCCGTAAAAGCTTCTGCATGTCTGCAGGAAAGAAATATAACAAAGCTGTACAAATCAGCTAACAGACGAGGACCCCATTTTGTGTGAACCTTTTTGAAGCGTTGTACGGGATACGTTTGATTCACTTCCAATGATGTTAGAGAACGTATTTCTTTTTCTTCATAACCCACCCGCACACTATTAAACTTTTCGATAAAGCTTTCCATGTTTACTAACTTACACACTCAACTCTTCTAAACTTCTACTGCTCCTTCACTCATTCGCGTAACTTATGTACCTAAAACCCCTTCCACTAAAACCGGTATCTCTGGAGGGGCAGTGCAATAAGAACACGTTCTTCGTATTCATCATCTTAGTTGTAATGGAAAAACCAATCATGATCAGTGTATCGTCGTTGCTGATTTTAACATATTTATATAACAACACCCTCTACATTTCACGACCTGATAATACAATTGGTGATCAAGCCTATGTTTGTAAAAATTTTAATAAAGATATTGATGTGCCTTGTGCATGGATGAAAAATTGGGGATCTGTTATTTTAAAAAATGTGAATGGTACAAATGTTTATACCATTGAAAACGTGGAAAACCTGCACTCTGTAAAACTTGCATTCATTGAAAAAGATGGACAGTCTCGAAAATACGTTGAAAGCCGATGGATTCACCTTCATGAGGCTGAAAACAGAGAGGGCTCTGTATCAAAGGGTTACATCACCGACTCTTTCCTATTTCTACAAGTTGTAAGCACTATTAATGTAATTTTATTATTCAATATTTTGATTGTAGCACTCATATACTTTATTTATATCAAAATAAAGAATCGTTAACCTTAACAACATTTCATTTAATTATCGACATAACATTTAACTGTCCAACTCAACCACCTTCTCCCTCCTCCTAACGTATTCCTACTTCTTTCCCTCTCACAACCAAATAACTTCTATTTAAAACCGCATTCTTTGTAGTATAAATACAACCAATATACGTATTAATGCTTACACTCACTGACATCGTCAAGAGCCAATAACATCATGTGACCAGTAACAGCAACCGTTTAATAGTAACCATTTAACAGTTACACGTTTCGTCACTTACCTACTCCTCTGTGCAAGAATCGGTTATCTTACCCTACCCATGCGATACGACGATGTATGACATTTTCAGAAAACTATCTCTAACCGTTTCTGAGATGACGTCCACCAAAACACTCGAGGGACATACAGCCTCCACGCGTGGATTGAGAATAAAACGGATGACCTAAAACGTCTTTAAAGCATGCGATACGACGATTTATGACATTTTCGGATGCCTAGCTCTAACCGTTTCTGAGATGGCGTTCACCAAAAAACTCGAGGTAACTACAGCCTCTATGCGTGGAATGAGAATAATTCGGATGGTCTAAAACGTCCTTAAAGCATGCGATACGACGATTTATGACCTTTTCAGAAGCCTATATCTAACCGTTTCCGAAATGGCGTCCACCAAAAAACTCGAGGTAGCTATAGCGTCTATGCGTGGAATGAGAATAAAACGGACGCTCTAAAACGTCTTTAAAGCATGCGATTCGACGAATTATGACATTTTCAGATGCATATTTCTTACCATTTCTGAGGTGGCGTCCACCAAAAAACTCGAAGTAACTACGGCCTCTATGCGTGGAATCAGAATAAAGCGGATGGTCTAAAACGTCTTTAAAGCATGCGATACGACGATGTATGACATTTTCAGAAGCCTATCTCTATCCGTTTCTGAGCTGGCGTCCGCAATGAAACTCGAGGTAGCTACAGCCTCTATGCGTGGAATGAGAATAAAACGGATAATCTAAAACGCCTTTAAAGCATGCGATACGACGATTTATGACCTTTTCAGAAGCCTGTCTCTAACCGTTTCTGAGATGGCGTCCACCAAAAAACTCGAGG